ACACCCACATCCACTCCAACACCCACATCCACAACTACAGCCACAGCCACACCGATCCACACAAACATCCACACCCACCCACCCACCCACCCACACTCCACACCCCACCCACACCCGTCTGATATTCTGTGTGATGTTTCTTCAGATTCTTTGTCAGGTCTTTTCACAGATCCTACTTGAGCCTACATATTTCACTTAAAGATCTATTCGAATTTCAAACAGCAATGCCTTTTGTCTTGGAGTCTCATGAAGTTCATTAATCTTCTGAAGTCTCCATTTCTTGAGCCCATGCATTTTGTAAAATGCCATCTAAGAAGAGTGTTGAAGCTCATAGGAGTAGACAATAGAACTCGCTCTCCTCACGGATCCTGACAGACGCTTTCAGAATCCTTTACAGAATATGGCAGACTTTGCTGACAAGCGATCAAAAATTTTATGTCACTAACATGTCATCACAACATATCAACCGCTATTTTCTTGAAGATTAGAGAATCCAGTTGAAAATAATGAAGAATTGTGTGGCGAAATAGATCAAAACAATTTTCATGTGATTAGAGAAGCAGTAACACCATGCTTTACGTTTTAATCTAGCAGAGATTGCGATAACAGCTTTTTATACGTTGAAGTGTTTTGAAGGTTTTACTTTAGTTGTCTTTCGATCTGAATGCGGACGTTGATATTGGTGTCGGTGAAGCAGACAACTACATCCACGTCATAGCCATATCTACTCTTCAACTAGGCCGACACATAACTATTTCCATCCACATCGCAGACTCATACCTTTCATTTCTTTTTCGTTCATTCTAGTGATTCTCAATATTTCGGTGAATGCCCAATGGGCACAGAAAGGATCGACCGTTGCTGGTGGTTATGGAAATGGCCGTGCCACGAATCAACTCAACACACCCATGGGTCTCTGTATTGATGAAGACCAAACGATGGTTATTGCTGACTTCTGGAATCATCGTATTGTTCAATGGAAGTTGGGTGATAAGGATGGACTAATACTAGCTGATGGGCGTCACAAAGGAAATCGATCAGATCGATTGTATTGGCCGACAAATGTGTTAATCGAAAAAGAGAGTGATAGTCTCATAATCTGCGACCCAGGTAATCAACGAGTCTTACGTTGGTCTCGTCTTACTTTCCCTGCCCAACGAGAAAGTCTTGTGGAAAATATTAATTGTTGGGGATTGGCTTTGGATGATCAGGGATATCTCTACATATCTGACGAGATAAAACATGAGGTAAGACGATATCATATAGGAAACAAGAATGGAACTATTGTAGCCGGTGGTCATGGCGAAGGTGATGGTCTCAATCAACTTAACCGGCCGAGATATTTATTTGTTGATCGACAACAGGCTGTCTACGTGTCAGACACTGATAATCATCGTGTAATGAAATGGAATAAAAATGCTAAAGAAGGCATTATCGTCGCTGGGGGCCAAGGGAAAGGGCAGGAACTGTCACAACTGACGTATCCTAGAGGATTGTTCATCGATGCATTGGGTACCATCTATGTGACAGACTGTTTGAACCATCGAGTGATGCGTTGGCCTAATGGAGCGACACAAGGCTCTATCATTGTGGGCGGAAACGGTCGCGGAGGAGACGCAAACCAGTTGAATTGTCCCGAAGGATTGTTCTTCGATCATCATGGTCATCTCTACGTTGCCGACAGTAGCAATCATCGAGTGCAACATTTTTCTATCGAATAAACTGACTAACACAGTTTCTTCTTCCGTTTCTGTTAAAAACACTACCATATATTAATTTTATTTCTGTTCTACACACGCGTCCGTGAAAAGAATACGGTGCCGTTGTGGGTGAGTGTGAAAAGAAAACCAATAACCATACATGGCAAAAGTCACTTTTCTGAGCCGCAAACTAATGCGAAACTATCTTATTCTTACTAACTAGTCTCTGTTCACCCCTCACCGTATGCTCATCTCAAAAACAAAATAAGGAATTACTTATTTCTTCCTCATATGAAATCATGCTTTTGTTAAACATGACGTCGATGCAATGATAAATAGGGTTACCGGAAGTTCGCCAATAAGACTTTCACAATTTGGACTTTCGCCAATGTACCTTCCTGACATTCGCCAATTGGCGAGTGTTCATTGATCTTTCGCCAGTTTACCGTCCTCACATTAGCCAATTGGCAAGTTTCCACTGTACTTGCGCCGGTAAATCCTTCAGATATTGGGCAATTGAAAAATGATAGTGACATTGATCGGAGAGATCAGCAACAAATACATGCTAAGAAAATTGTTGGAAATCACATGATCAAAATTTTTATTTGTAGTTTTAGATTTATTCGAAATAAGTCTAATATCATTTGTGTGTTAACAAGTATGAAGTATAACACATTGAACATCTGTTTATATCAATACATAGGTAAAAAGTTTAGTATATATGACATGATTTCGAGTTTTTCAGATAGCTATTGTTAATCATATGCCTGTTACTACTTGTGCAGCAGCATTAAGAAATTTGTCAGTATATCTTTTGGAAATTCGCCAATTGGTGAAAGTTCAGTCGACATTCACCGGTATATCTGTTGGACATTCGCCAATTGGCGAAGATCCATTGAACTTTCGCCAATACATTCTGTGGAATTTCGCCAATAATTGGCGAAAGTCAAAATTGGCGAAGTTTCGGAATCCCGATAAATAGAAGGCTAAAACAAATGGAAAAATAATACTGGATACCGCTTGATGACAGTACAGACGAATGAGGTCTCTGAACCCATTGTTACATTCTTCTTAACACACCAATAGCTCATAGCACAAACGCTATCCATATTAAAACAAATTTCTTCCGTCCTAGGAATAGCTTTTTTCATGCATCACGAAACTAAACATGAAAAAGTTACTTGTCACCGTATATTTACACTTATGATTTTTCAATGATAGACGAAGAGAATATCAGTGAGTGTTTTGATGCCAGTTCGTCGGTTTGCTCAGAAAACAAGAAGCTTTGCAGCACTATTTTTGGTTCTATAGCACTTACAGAATCATTTAAAGTATGACATTGTAGTTGAACAACCTTGAATGGTTTTGGCCAATAATGTTGCATACTAAAAGGTTCTGCCGTCTAATACTAAACCATACAAAGTCTTTTGTTCAACAGTATGACACTCCATGGGTTCTGTCCGATAGATGCGGAGCTTTGAAGGAGATTCTATTCATTGATACGAAAGTTTAAAGAGTTCTGCTCCCTAATACTAAGCGATATGCAGCTTTTTGTTGAACGATGCTAAATCAAAAACGGTATGGGTGTGGATGTAGATAGAAATTTTCTGTATGCCCTCACACAGAAACACCCACACCCACATCCAATGCCAAACCATCACCCACACCCCACGCCCATACCAACACTGCGACATGCACAACCACACCCATATTCACAGCTGTGAGTCTTCGAAATGGGGAACGAATGTTATGTCTATATAATAATTTTAGTAAAGAAAATAAGATTTGAAAGGTACTGTTTTGAATTTGTCAACGGTATCTCACGACAATTGTTTTTCACAACGGATGTGTTCTATAAAATATTCGATGGGTTATCTGCTATAAGGAATAGTCTTGTGAGCAAAAGTATGTTCATGAATTGTTGCTCATATAACTTCAATTTATTTGGTACGGCTTTTTGTTGAAAAGAACTGAAGTATCAGTGATTTATTTTTAAGTGGAACAAGACAAATTTACACAGTATTTAGAGATTCAATTTCACAAAGACAAACGTGAAAAAACATAGAATAATAGACTACAACTGCTCCTCACACATGTGTTCATAATGAATTTATAGTTCGTTTCATAACTTACTCAAAACATAGTTGGCATGTATTTTAAGCCAAAGTGAACCGATGACGATTTAATTGACAGAAATATAAAGTACTGTTTTTGACGCATGACCAATGGTATCTCCACGTCGTTGTGCAAAGCGTAGAGTCGGATCTGTACTATATGACATGTCAAGTTTCATATCTTGAGCTGTTTGTTGATAAGTAAAGCGCACTGATGAATATCGTTTATTGATTTCTTCTACTGCAGCTAAGCCTGTTTGACTCCGTAACTGCGCACGCATTGCACGTTCGGATGCGAGATAGGCTTTAGTCAGACCAACTTGAGACCTACCCGTGCATTTGTTAATATAATCGATTGCCTGATAATATTCTTCTGCTGTCATTTTACCTTTCAGCCAACTAGGATCAAGAAGAGAGTTCGGATTGAAA